GGAGAACAATGAGGGGAAGGAGCATAGAAGTAGGATGCGAGGCGCAGGAGCGAATAGATAGTCGATAAATAGACCTGAGGCTAACTATTGTGGTTGATATTTTATTTTATTTTTTTATTGTATTGTAGGCCCATATGTATTTTATTACTTGGAATTTATAGCTTTACACTATTACATTCATTAGATTTTTTCCTCGTGAAATATGAAATTATGGATATATGATCAAGAGCGTATTAAGAAGGACCTCTTGATAGAATGTATGTATGTATATATATATATTATTATATAGGCTAATTATAAATTATATACATATATATGGAAACATGGGTTACGATGTATTCGGTACATGTACTTGCATTACATGCAATAATGATTTAATAATAATAATAATAATAACAACTAGTTCCAACGATCTACTCCTACTACTGCTCATATTGCCTCATAAGGTCTGTCTCCCTGGGTAGGCCCCTATACTGCCGGACACTGCGGCTGTTGTTGTTGTTGCTGCTACTAATGTTGCTACTAACTGCTGTTGTTGTTGCTGCTACTAATGTTGCTAATAACTGTTGTTGTTGTTGCTGCTACTAATGTTGCTACTAACTGCTGTTATTGTTGCTGACATTATTGTGTTGATTGTTGATTGTTGATATTATTGACTGTTGTTATGGACAACAGCAGCCGCAGTGTACGGCAGTACCCAGGGAGACATATACACCCTATCAGCCCTACTACTACTACACCCGCTCCCTGGATCATTGTATTATAGCGATTTTCGATTGCCGTATACTTGGCCAGTTGCAGGACCTCTCACCGCGCACGACTTGTATCCCGAGATCGAGAAATGTAGTGGAACTCGTATCGATTTTGTTTTCCTCAAATCTTGTCCTACACCACATTTGGCCTTTCCTGACCCATTGACCTGAGGTTTTAGCGGATTGCTCCTTCTACATGCGAAACGCGAACACCTAAAGTAAATCCGTATAGATTTGTACTGCTACTGTTCATGGATGATCATGAGCGGAATGATACTCGTGCTATTCTAGCTACATCTGCCCAATATCTGAGACTGATAGGTCAAATAGGTTTAGTCTTCTCTTATAGAGTGGCTCCAAACGTCTCTGTTGCTGCCATGTGTCGACTCTCAACGACCAACGAGTAAGTTGTTTACTCGTCTAGAGTGAAATGTTAACGGAACAGCTATAGTATAGCTTTATCTTTTCCAATCTTACAGGATTCATTGGAGATACGTTTCTCACTCTTTTTGAGGCATTAAAACAATAAGCCACTATGTTTTAGGCAATGGTAAATTAATGACATAAAAATTTAAATGTATGTCATGCCGCTGCAAGGTTTGCAAGGAGGTATTTACATAAAGCTCGATGTGCATTTGACTGCACATATCACGAATATGAAGCGTAGATGAAGCACGGACGCAAGCCATTGGTAGGATATATATTCCTTATATATTATGTTGGGAAAGAAACCTTAATATTTTTAATAGGTCTCTAATAAAATAACACACTCACGTAAAAAGTGAACACAGATGTTAAACATAAAATTATATATTACGTATATTGTCCATTGAATTATTACAGAAAAACCACTTACTTCAAAATATCACAGGAAACTTCTACACGCCACTAAACAGGTACCAAAAAATATAACCAGACAACAATGTACTAATTGCAAATAGGTTAAAAGCAAACAACCTACAGAAGGTTTACTTCAGCTGTTGGCTTACCATATTGATATTTAAAAAAAAATTCCAACACAGTTTGTGTACGCAGGTAGGTAGGTAGCATTGCAAAACTTAACCCACTCACTAACATATTTTCTGCAAACAAAGCAAGATAGTAATGATGAAATTATAATTACTTATAATTTTTAAATATACATGTAATTGAGAGTATCACAGGTGGGAACTGCTAGTACATGTATGTAATAATGATACTAAATTGCAGCAATCAGCTTGTTGCATCACCAATATCCATGATTCATTGTTTGGTAATCATCCACCAAAAAGGAACGAACAGTCGGGCATGTACTTGAGAGCTCTCTTCTATGCTACGAGCCACTATGCTACGATATACCCTTGTATCAGACCACAACAAAACACATGCATGTATTTCAAGTTCAACACTGCAAAGTAATGACAAATGGAACAATTAAAAGTACATAGGGAAAACCCAATGAATTTAATTAAATCCAATTACAAACTACCTTTGGTTAAGCTTAAGAGATTTGAAAATACACTTAAAATACTTATAATAGAGGGGCACAACTTTGGAAAGGGATTCCATCCATGATGTATCCCAATTATGGTTTGCTATAGTGTATCTCGTGGCATAGACTTGAATACAACATTAACACATACCGTCGATGTAACAAGTAAGAATAGAAAACTCAGATAAATGACTAGAGCTTGAAGTAAAAAAATAAAGCTATAATTCATCTTTGTTCTTGACAGCAACATGCAAAATGATGCAGCATCGTCTTACACCGTATAAACGTGGGCAGCACATGACCAAAACTTGGTTGAAACTGCATATACATGCCAACCATGCATAGATCATATATTTCTTAACAGCACAACACATACACAGGCAAAATTTCCCATTGCCATTGACGTGCAACAAATTATACGACGCTGGTTTCTAGTAGACTTTTACTGCCAGCATTTCCATTCACTTTAACGTCAGCAGATGGCAGCACGGGTATAACAGTATTAGGCATGCCATTTATGTCCACAGGTACGTAGGTGGGCATGCTATATTTGTCACTGTACCGTCCACTAGACGTCGTAGTGAACACGCCCTCACCAATGCCCACCACTGGTGACGATCCTGTACACGAGCCCACGTTCATTGCGTGAGTTGACAGCTCCGTGAGTGACTCAGCAGTATCAGTGTTGTAATCACTGGCCGGCGGTGGTGATTGCACGTCTATCACACAGGAGGGGGACTTCATGGGAGGCAGAATCACCATGTTTGGCACCAAAGCACTGCCTTTTCCGGGCGGATGTGCCCTTGGAATATCAATAGGACTAGTCGTCAGTGTTGCCGTTGGTACAATGCCACAGTTGGACGAAGTGGCATCTATGGCATTGGAGACTGCCACAGGCTTCTCCACGCTGTTCTCAACTTTCGTAATACCAACGCAGTCTGAAAGATAGAAGTATGCTTCATGATGACAGCTGCTACTCTTTATATGGGGAATTCACACCTCAGACACAGAAATATTAGTCGGCATACACTCACTCAATATAAGTCCGCTATATTCACGTTGATTACACGAAAAGACAAACAAGAGCCGCAGAGCATCTGGGCTCATCTGAGGTCTGTTGCTATGGTTACAAACATAACATTTAAGTCGTGCGTAGTGACACCTTTGTTAGGCGCAGATATGCAGATACGCAGTTGCGTACACATCATTTCAGCAACCTGCATTCTGCATACCTCCCAAATCCCATTGGTTAATACAAATCGCGTGCCTGAAACTCCTGTTTTATGGTGCATTGTGACCCTAACCCCAACCCTATTAAAAAAAAAATTATTTGTTGTTATGAAATTGTTGTAAATAAATCAAGTAAATATTTGCGTTAATTGGAAAAAAATAGTTAAATGGATAAAGATAGAAAAATACAGAAAACAGGTAAATAATAAAAAATCTTATTGGCTTTCCAGATTATGGATGTGCCATGAATATGAGAACACTGTGACATTATTGAGGCAGTTCAGGAATCCATGTTTAACCCTCCTCTTGAGGGTCAAAAGGTTATCAGACACTTACTCTTCGCACGTCAGTGGAAAGCACATTTCATGGTCCTTTCAATAAAGTGATAAAAATGGTAGGTCAGCGCTAAAACAAAAAAGTTTTCCACTCTGTCCGTTAGCCCATGTCCTCAGAAAATGTCTGATATCTGACCTTTCTCCCACTGCCCTTTGACCTGTGACCTCTAATTTCGCACTGGTGATGGGTTTCCTGCCCATCACACTATACACCGAATATTAAGAGCATAGGTCAAGCCGTTAAGATTTGTACCGCAATTCCGTATTTCCTCCTATACCTTAAGTTAAGGGAGAAATATTCCCCCTCCGTTTACACATCTTCACCTTTGACCCTTGACCCCCAAATTTGTCATCCTGAGTTATTTTCACGATCCCAGACGTCCCTAATATCGTGACCGTACGTTGAGCGGTTAAGATTTGTGCCCAACTGTTGACGCACGGACGGACGCACGCACGCACGCACGGACGGACGGACGCACGGACGGACGCACGCTAAAAATGAATTTCTGCGCAATGAATTCATGGCAATGCACAACAGTCATGCAATGCAGCCTACCTGAAATTGCACCATTAGCTTGGTGTTCGCTATTATTTTGTCCAGTGTCTGTATTAGTCACCTAGAAAATAGGAAATACCTGTTATCATTGCTGCAGCATCATGCTGCGCACCTGGCACTAGAGCTTAATTACATGCCATGCTAATCTTGTCTATTAGGATGTTGCGGTCGAATGACAGACTGTATGGTTATACGGAATATACCCAGTTGAAATATCGTGAAAATCAGCTGTACTGCTAACTAATGTAAACTAGTATATATAGTAAGTAAACCAAAAGGAAGGTAATAAATCGTTTTATCGTAATACTATTTCTATGGCGCACATACTATACCAGTAACTACTAAGTTCATCTCGATATGCTTTGTGTAGCTAGTGACCAGTAGCATCAAAATCTAGCAGTTTATCTCACAGAACACAGACTTGAATCTGAATTCACAGCAAGTGAAAATGACATATCTACGTACATGGGGCATTTACAATTATCAGCATTATACTGCAAGCATACAGACTGTACACTTTTCTCCTTACTCTCCTCCTCCCCAAGTGCACGAAATGAATTCTCAATCAAATATGTAACAATAGCATACAGCGGCCATTATTACCACTCCCCACAAGTGTACGATTCGCACGTTTGTGATAATGTTTGTTACTATGAGCATCCCCTAAACACTGATGATAATGTTGCTCTGGCCTGATACACAACATACGTTGTACAATATAATATGAAAAGTTAGTTGCTTCCATAACAATTCGGTCAGACATTGTAGATGGAGAGAGAAAGAGAAGTCTTATTGCTTGTTTTATTTGTAAAATTACTTAACACCATTATTACAATTTTGTCAAAACATTTCTGCCTTCTATTTGCTATAAAAATTAAGCTGGTAATTTCCACACTCAATGTTTTTTAACATATATATTTGAAATAAGCCAAGTTACTGAAGATATAATATATATATAGTCTATTTATGTAGGAAAAGAGCAAGAAGATAATTTTACAACATAATACATAATCTATGACAATTACAATACCATTGCAAAACAAAAATCTTGAAAAATTTAAATCACCTTCTATTCAGAAAATACTTAATGGGAGAGTTTACTCTAGGTTCTAGGGTTATTTTCAGCTAATTTAGGTTATAATTACG